ATTTACAGACTGCTGTCATATAGCTAGAATCTTGCTGATTGCAGTGTCACACAAAAAGCCAAAGCAAAGCAACATCCATGCCCTCAGGGCACCATGACACGCAACCATCCAGGCAACATTTTGTGATCACACAATCACCATCTTGGATGGCTCTTAGACCGTGGTCTAGTGGTAGAGCATCCTCCCGGGGAACGGAAGGTCAGGGGTTCGATCCCTAACTGCTTCATACCAAAAGGCATTAAAAGATGGTACTTGTTGTTACCCTGTCTGGCGCTCGGCATTAGGGGACTAAAACAAGGACTGGTCAGCTCGTAGTCAGTATACTGTGTCTAAGTGGTATTCATGTTAAACTGTGGCAAGGTCACCTGACATTTAGTAAGGAATAAATATAAATGTAAACAGTAATTCATCAGCAGGATGGCAGAAGGTTGATGTACACAAAAATGGGGATTAACAATTAGGATTAGCATCTTATAAATAACAGCAATTAAGTGTTTCAAGGCATATAGATGTCATGGCTCCAGGGTAATGAGCCTTTGCAATTAAATGTTCCTCAGACAATGGGTGTCGTAAATCAGTCGCTATGACAGTACTATTACTGCTTGTACTGTCTGGATAATGCTCAGCTTCACAGTGCTTAGCCCACTGAGATACCATGCCACAGTTTAACAAGGATAACCCCACTCAGACACAGTATACTGACTCCGAGCCGACTAGTCTTGTTTTTACCCCTTAAAGCCAAGCAACAGGCAGGGTAACAAGTACTATCTTTTTTTAATTTTTGGGTATGACACAGCCAGGGGATCGAACCACCTACATTTCAGTCTCCAGGCAGGTGCTCTACCCACTAGACCACGGAGGAATCACACAATATATCGAACTGACACGCCTTGAAACAAAACGGATGGAAATGGAGAACGGAATATTAGTTTTAGACACAGTAAAATAATACGCTACCAATGAACACAAACACATCTCAACATTTGATTCTGACATGTTGAATTTGTATGTGCGCTATTTCAAATGGACTGGCAGTAAAGCATATTTCCCTATATGTTTCATTGTTCTCTTATTCGTTTTCATCAGTCTATAAGTCAATGAGTGTACTCAAGTCACTACACAGTACTGTAAATGTAATTACTGAGATAAGAGAATGTTCCTAACGTAATCTTAAGTGTCATCAATAAAACTAAAGTTGGGCAGGCAACGTCTCATTAACATTCTAGCATAACTTCACAGGAATGTTATTTTTATGCTTGTGAAGAATCCATTCTTCAAAAACTGTTGGAGTAAGGGAATAGGAATGTTTGGATTAAAATAATGCCTCAACCGTTTTCCCTTGATGCCAACAGTGGTACCATGAGTGAGTGAGTGAGTGAGTTGTGTTTCATGCTGCTTTTAACAGTATTCCAGTTATATCACGGCATGTCAGCTTAATGTGGGAGGAAAGCCCGAAGTGATGCAGGTCTTAGACGTTTACCACTTCGGTGAAACCCACGGGCACAGGTATGGTGCTGACAAACCTAGAAACATAATTGGGGCTAAACAGGATTTGAACCCACAATCATAGGTTTCCGGTGTGCCCAAGGGACACAACTCTGCACAGTGAATCGCCACCCGTGCCTCCAGGTCTGTATGAGTTGAAGGTCTGTAAGGTTTGAAGGTTTGCATGGGTCTGTATGAGTTGAAGGTCTGTATGAGTTGAAGTGTTGAAGGTCTGTATGAGTTGAAGGTCTGTAAGTGTTGAAGGTCTGTATGAGTTGAAGTGTCGAAGGTCTGTAAGGTTTGAAGGCCTGTATGAGTCTGTATGAGTTGAAGGTCTGTAAGGTTTGAAGGCCTGTATGAGTCTGTATGAGTTGAAGGTCTGTATGAGTTGAAGGTCTGTAAGGTTTGAAGGTCTGTATGAGTCTGTAAGTGTTGAAGGTCTGTATGAGTTGAAGTGTTGAAGGTCTGTATGAGTTGAAGGTCTGTAAGTGTTGAAGGTATGTATGAGTCTGTATGAGTTGAAGGTCTGTAAGGTTTGAAGGTCTGCATGAGTCTGTATGAGTTGAAGGTCTGTAAGGTTTGAAGGTCTGCATGAGTCTGTATGAGTTGAAGGTCTGTAAGTGTTGAAGGTCTGTATGAGTTGAAGTGTTGAAGGTCTGTAAGGGTTGAAGGCATGTAAGAGTCTGTATGAGTTGAAGGTCTGTAAGGTTTGAAGGCCTGTATGAGTCTGTATGAGTTGAAGGTCTGTAAGGTTTGAAGGTCTGTATGAGTTGAAGGTCTGTAAGGTTTGAAGGTCTGTATGGGACTGTATGAGTCTGTATGAGTTGAAGGTCTGCATGAGTTGAAGGTCTGTAAGGGTTGAAGGTCTGTATGAGTTGAAGGCTGATATAGAATCTCATTACACACTGTATTTGTGTTAGCTCAGACAATGGCAGCACTGACCAAGGTCTGACCCCAGGGCAAAGATCTGAAGCGCCACCTGGGGGGATGTCAGAAATACAAGCAGAAAAAGTCGGCATGTCTCCCCAGGTTCTGTGGTCAAGATGCCATTGAGAGATCAATAATTCCTTTGTGGCTATGATTACAACATAACTGGGAGATAATACATTTGTACCATGACTGAGTGTGTTTCAGATCTTCACTGATTATAATGTAACACAGAAGTCATATCACAATATCAGGAACTGAGCCAGGGGTGTTGCAAGAACAACGCTTTAAACATTGAACAAAAAGTTCAGTTACCATAAATCATGAAATTAATGTGTCACTAAATAATTAATGAGAGTGTCGACCCCTGGCATGATGCTTGTAGCCCTGCCTTTGACCTACAAAAACTAACGAACAAACAAGAACTCCAGGATTTAGAATTCAAGCGTAAAGTATAGGGTGATAGCAATTTAATTGAATAAACTTACAGGCAAGACCCGTCAATCAGACATCGTTGAGTGAGTGAGTGAGTGAGTGAGTGAGTGAGTGAGTGAGTGAGTGAGTGAGTGAATTTGGTTTAACGCCGCTTTTAACAGTATTCCAGTTATATCACAGCGTGTCAGCTTAATGTGGGAGGACAGCCTGAAGTGATGCAGGTCTCAGATGTTTACCACTTCGGTGAAACCCACGAGCATGGGTATGGAGCTGACAAACCTAGAAACATAATAGGGGCGAACCGGGATTCAAACCCACAATCATAGGTTCCTGGCGTGTTTCTGGCTCTTGCGGGCAGATGACCATTAAGTACGCTGATCACTGTGTCGGATTAACGAGGCTGATTAATGAGTGATTTCGGTAAATGAGATGTGTCAGAGTCAGATTAACGGGTCTAAATAGCACTGATTTAATCTGTTCCCATCATTAGTGTCGGATAAAACCGACTGTCGGATTAACGAGTGTCGGATTAACGAGACTTGACTGGAGTATATTATATTTTCAAATTTTACTTCAACTGCTTGACATCTGAACTTACTTAACTGAAATCAAAAGCAAGAGATTCCAAACAACACATACTCAATTAGATCGAGTCACTGACGAAACTTCTACATGTTCCAAGTGTTGTTATACGAGTTAGCTCAATCCTTTACACATACATGAGCAGTATAGTGTATTCACCACAGCTGCTGTTGAACTGGACATAAATTTCAAATAATCTCAAATCATTATCGTTACTTTGACGTTTTCTTTTATTATTTAGAAGATAGATACTATGTGTGTGTCTATTTCCGGGATTCTATCGAGTATTTGCATCTTGGAAACTCATCTCGACATCTCAAATGAAAATTTCCAAGATGCAAATACTCGAAAAAATCCCGGAAATAGACACACACATAGTATTTATCGATATTGTAAACCTATTGTTTTAGGAACCTATTGTTTTCAGGGAATGCAAATCATATTTTCACCTTTTGACATTTGGTCATGTGACCCAAATTAGCCAATCACTACACAGAACACACTTTCTATAGGTTTACAATACACAATAATAGCTTTCTGTACACTCCACATTGTCCTGGATGATTACAAAACAAAAGAAGTAAATTTGGTTTTGATCTCAATAAGAAAAAAATTATAAAGGCAGAGTATTAGGGGTTTGGATTCAGCATATGTCGGAATATATTTGTCCAATAACTATGTACACATATATAGAAATCCAACATTTCCATATTCCTCCAGAGTATGAGATTTTGGGAGACATTATACTTTAAGTGTCCCTCCCCAATAATAACTTACCCACAGTATCGAGCATCTCTTTGGTCAGGGGGTAAAAAGGCCCTGACGACTCTAATACAGCAATACCGAGACAAGGACTTGATCAAGTGCGGGTATTAGGGACAAACCATTTGATATTCTGGCAGGTGGGGGGTGGGGGGGGGGGGTGATGTTGGATTTTCTCGAACATTCTTAACACAATAATTATGCTTTAAAAAAATAATTGCCTGCCACAAAAATACATTGTTGCAAGCAGTGTTTCTTAAACAAAATTGAGGCTCATAGTTCCATATAAAAAAATATCTGGTTTTGTAGCTGTAGCTGAAAAAATATCTAACAAAATCCCAGGCCCCCCCCCCCCCCCCCCCCCCCCCCCTGAATTATCAAATGGTCAGTCCCTAACTGGGTCCCACTGATAAGCCAAGCGATAAAATAGGTGATGCCTTTAAAAACTAAAGAATTTTACAAAAATTACAAACTATATAATATCAAAAAAAACAGATTACTAAAATTGCTAGCATACACATTGAAGTTTTACCATTAACCATTTTGTGTCGGACAAAGTACAAAACATTAAATATAAATAAGGCTAACATCACAAAATCATAATCCAAAAGAAATTCTAAACATCATAAGCCTTTCAAATTAATTGCCAGACTTCTGAATTCAAGCAACGCCTTGACAAAGATGCCATATAATCAATAAAAAATTATCAACCAATAACATTGCTTGGTATTTCTGAATACCAGAAATAGATTAAACATAATTATTTTCTTAAAAAGTAAAAAGTGTTATTTATTGGCTATTTGTCTCACCTTCCTGACCCTCTTCATTTTGTGCTTTTCCTCGGATCCCATCGCGGCAGACATTTCTCAGCCACACAAACAGGTGAACGTAGGATACAGCATATCAAGACACAATCTCCAACTTCCCTCACCCAGCCGCATCCATCCTAGCATCCCTCATTCCACAGTAATCAGAATACCACACAATAATCCACACACTTCATGCACTGATTCTTAGAGTTACCAAACTGTTGGCGCCAATGGTCAAACCATGCTGAAGCATCACAGCAGTATGAAAACTCCTGACACTGTTATACAGTGATAAGGCACTGCATTCAGGGATATGCGAGACGGTCATAGCAAGTCAATACTTGCAGCACACGTCCTCTGTCCCCACCAAACACTGGTGATGTGTCGGTGGCTGGACCTTCCTCTCATTATCCAAGGAACAAACCATTAGCTGTCCCAGCCTGTTTGACAAAACTCTACCAAACGATCAAGTATTAGTGAAGGCTTAAGCATTAAGACGATATAACCATAACTCCCTTCTCTGTGAGGTACACATCTCCCTCAACTCGCTCTCGCTTTGCCGAGATCGTTTTTTTTTACAACCTCTCTTAAAAACAATTTGCCTTTAATTTGCAACGGATCTTAAGAGTCTTCTCTCAGAAGTAATATGTCTTCACTCCTTGAGTGACTGCCAAGGAAGCTGCATCCAGTTACCGAACTGGAAGCTATTGCATACCCGGTAAGTTGTCAATGAGGTAGTGACCACATGGTACTTTCTGCAAGTCCAAGATTGTAAATAAGACAGAACAAACAAAAGGATGGCCCTATAGTAGTGATCAGCATGAAGTGATTTATTGTCACTATCATTCAGTCTAACCAGCAATCAGATTTGGATTTTAGAATTGGATTGTAGATTCAGTATGATTTATTTTGTAGATATAGAAAGATTCTTAATATCAAGAATACTTCAAGATTAAATACTTGGCAATACTATTCAAACATGCTTTATCATCAATCTGTACTCAGTACATTCGATTCACCATAAAGATGAAATATTGCTTAAGGCCATAAAATCATAACTATACTAAAAAAAAAAAGTTAAGGATTATGAATATCTTTGGGGATATATTTATAAAAAATCGTGTGCTCAATCTTCACTTTAAAAATATATTCCCAAAAATATTCATGATTCTGATTTTTTGTGTTCAGTATACATATACATGTTGCTGTAATAATCCTAAACATCATGTACTGTTAATAGTGAGTGAGTGAGTGAGTGAGTGAGTGAGTTGGGTTTAACGCCGCTTTTAACATTATTCCAGTTATATCACAGCGTGTCAGCTTAATGTGGGAGGAAAGCCTGAAGTGATGCAGGCCTCAGACGTTTAACCACTTTGGTGAAACCCACGAGCATGGGTATGGTGCTGACAAACCTAGAAACATAATTGGGACTAAACAGGATTCGAACCCACAATCATAGGTTTCTGGCGTTTCCAAGGGATGCAACTCTGCACAGCGAATTGCGGTGCCTTAGACGACTGGGCCACCCGTGCCCCCCTGTACTGTTAATAGAAGTAGCTTCTTTTCTTTAAACCTCCACAATTAACGGATCCAAACAACGTCGTGCCAAGTAAGATATTGAGCTGCACAAAAATATTGATCAAGCAAATTGGTTAGCAAAATTCTTTATCATCCAAAACTGGGTCCCACAGGAGATATCACTTGGGTGAGATCAAGGGATATCTACACTGAAGATATCGCTGCAATGAAATTGCATCACAATGCTTTGCAGACCATTGTGACGCCATTGGTTACCATGGCGTCACAATCAAATGACATCACTAATGGCTCTTTTACAGAAGCTGTTAGCAGTACTTTTTACACTTAAGACACTGCTTATTACTGTCTACAAACTGAATAAGTTGGGGAAGAATGATGTAGGATGATAAATAAAATAGTGGAAAAAATCCTCGGCATGCCTCAGAGTTTTCCCACTTTTATCAACTTGTGTTGATATATTTGATATCAAAAGACACGAGGGTGAGATTCTCTATGTATCATAAAAGGGTACCAAAAAAAGGTGTTGGAATCTACACTGAATTGTTACCTCAACTGTAATCCTGAAGTTTCACCACAAGAATTTGTCCTTGTTCATTCACTTGTTGATAGAATTTCACATGGAGAGAAGTAACCATTAAGTTATTTCAATCCTGCCTTACAATGAAAGAATTTTGCAACATAACACAAACAGCTGTAGTAATACATGTATTGCTACATGAAAGATAATCAGAGAACAACCAATGGGCTACGAGGGATTACAGATTATCTGTCCCGAGTGAATGAATGGTCTTAATCCTTTGCCTTTGGCGAGGGATTAAGACCATTCATTCACGGACAAATGATCTGTAAATCCAAGTTTTGATAGGTTGTTGTATAAATTACTTATTGACATTTTTACAGAGAAAATAAAGGAAAATATATGAAATGTCAACCCTAGAGAGAGGCTTCAATGAAGGCAGCCTGTTGTTCAGATGACATCAAGTAATCAGTGTGTGATGTCACAAATAATGGATGGTGTCATATGATATTTTCCTCAACAATGAAGCACTGTGAGTAAGTGAGTGAGTTTGGTTTTACGCTGCTTTTAGCAATATTCCAGCAATATCACGGCGGGGGACACCAGAAATGGGCTTCACACATAGTACCCATGTCGGGAATCGAACCCGGGTCTTCGGCGTGACGAGCGAACGCTTTAACCACTAGGCTACCCGACCGCCCCTGAAGCACTGTGACACATTATGACTTCATTTGACCAATCTACCCGTGAAGATCTGGGTTAGAATAGGTCTTCAGCAACCCATGCTTGCCCTAAAAGGCGACTATGCTTGTCGTAAGAGGCGACTAACAGGATTGGGTGGTCAGCCTCGCTGGCTTGGTTGATGCATGTCATTGTTTCACAATTGGGTAGATCGATGTCCATGATGTCAATCACTGGATTGTCTGGTCCAGACTCGATTATGTACAGACCGCCGTCATATGGCTGGAATATTGCCAAGTACAGTGTTAAACAACAAACAAACATATCAACTGACCAATCAGCATTGAGAACCACTAAAATGCACACATGGAAATATCAGACAGGTATTACACATGATAATTCTACCCTTATGGGCAATATTCGGAATTATGTCACTATGGACTTAAATAATAAGCCTGGACCCAAACCACCACAAGCTTATGATATGACAAAGCTCCTGTCTGCCCAAGCAAATTTGTTTGTTTGTTTGTTGTTTAACGCTGCACTTAGCAATGTTCAAGCTTTAATGATGGCGGTCTGTAAATAGTCGAGTCTGGACCAGAAAATCCAGAGATCCATATTGTGAGGTACGATGACACAAATCAACCAAATCTCCGAGTCTGACCACCCAATCCATTTCTTCACCTCCTACGATCAGCCTAGGTTGCTGGGGACCTTCAGGGTCCTTCAAAAAGCAATTGGACATGAGGAGGGAAATATTTTGTAGGCTGCAACTTGATGACTTAAACTAGGCATTCATTGGTCATCGTATGAAATTAAAACAAATGGCCAAACAGTGTTTGTGAGAAGACAAAATTAACATCAGCAAAAATTTGACAGGTTACCCTGCTCCATCTTCCAGAGTCAAGGGAGTTAACTGACCATCAAAGTCCAGTTTCCACCCTTGCCGAACTAGGCTGGTATTATGGAGTTACATTTTGGCTGGACTAAAGAGTCTATGCATAGTCCAATCAAAATCGCGCAACGAAATCAAAATCTGGTTTGTAACGTCGTGCAGATTTCAGTCGATTGCAGGATACCGCCAACTCGTTGTCAAAATATATTTTACAAATCGTTATATGTTTTTAATCAAGGTGCTCAAGTGATTTGATGCACTTTGCGTTTTATCACAATATAGATCTTGAGTTTTGATGAGATCGTCTTGACTGGGCACCGCCATTTTGTTTGAAGCAAATGCAACTGATACGAGAGGTGGAATTTCAATGGTCCATAGGAGAGGCTTAGAAGGGACATAACTCATAATAACCACTGGTGGCACTACGATCGAGTCCAGGAATTCCAGCCTAGTTCGGCAAGGGTGGGAACTGGACTTATAAAGTCAGTTAACTCTCTTGCCTCGGGAAGATGCCCTGCTCACATGTAACTGGATATGATAGATTTTTATAAATATTTCTTCCAATGTCTGTTTGCTGAAAGTATATTAAGGGACTGGTCATTTAGTACTATTTTTGGTGGGGAAGGAGTCTGAGGATGTCATGAAAAAATACAAAGTGAAAGAAGCAAGGGTCGACAAAATTGAACACAACTATATCTGACACATTTCTATTTTTTCAAACAATTTTTTCGAAATTTGAACATTATTTATTATAGGTGGGGAGCCCAAATTGTTTTCACCTAAAATGGGTGGTGGGTCAGCAGAATATAATACAGTCCTAAGACCAATCACATACCATCCGGGGTGGTGGGGTAGCCTAGTGGTTAATGTGTTAGCACGTCACGCTGAAGGCCCAGGTTTGATTCCCACATAGGTACAATACATGAAGCCCATTTCTGGTGTCCTCTGCTATGATATTGCTGGAATATTGCTAAAAGCGGCTTAAAACCATACTCACTCACTCACATCCCTCCCATGAGTGAGTGAGTTGGGTTTAACACCGCTTTTAACAGTATTCCAGTTACATCACAGCGTGTCAGCCTAATGTGGGTGGGATGCAGGTCTCAGACGTTTACCACTTCGGTGAAAGCAACGAGCACAAGTATGGTGCTGACAAACCTAGAAACATAATGGGGGCGAACCGGGATTCGAACCAACAATCATAGGTTTCTGGCGTGCCCAGGGGATGCAACTCTGCACAGCGAATCGCGGCGCCTTAGACGGCTGGGCCACCTGTGCCCCCTCCCCTCCCATGAAAAATGACCAGTCTCAAAGCTTGCCTCACAAACCAACAGTCACACCAGCTTACCACAAGCGGGAAATCCAAGCATGTTGCACAATACAATACATTTAGGCTTATTTCCCAAAGCTTTTAATCTTAGCAAACTTGATATGAGCAGCACACTTGCATGTCCAAGTGAATTAGCTGCAAACTCATTCCTGTAAAGTAATTTTAGCTGATGGAAGTTAGTTAAAAGATGAGACTTTTGACTGAAATGATTTGATTGAAAAAATTCCCATCCCATAGCAGAGGCTGATTGCCAGAAGTAGACAATTGTAAATGACCCCATGAAATAAATGTCATTTTGACACAGTGTAAATGAACTTTAATGTTGCTAACTAGTGCCCTATCAGTGAAGCGATCAAATTGAATGCCCTACAAGTCATCACAATATCATTGCCCCGTGGACCAAGGTCGATAGTTTCACTGGATCATCTTCTGGGGTCTCCATGTTCAGGCTCCATCGCTGATAAACAATGACATTAACATGGGGAGAGATTCATGACT